GCAAAACGCATAAAAGCAAGGGAAAAAATACTCGGCCAAGATGCAGCAGTTGACTGTCCGTTTTGCATTTTGTCAGTGCAGTCAATTGTCAGATTGTCAGTGAAAGACAAAATACAGACAATCTTCCAACTTCTTTGTGATCCACACTATCACCAATACCATGCAGGAAAGCGAAGATTTCAGTCAACAAACCGATTTTTCAAATTTTTGAAACTTTTTTTTTGTGAAATTGAAATAACACACTGTGTATAAAAATTTCTTAGAGGGGGAATGTGGTCGAATTGAGTTGTCCAGTGAATTTTCAAACAAGTTTCTGAGGTTTAAAAAATTGAATCTTAAATTGTTGTTGATCATTACTGAAGTTTAATTTCTATCAAGTTAGACATCTGCCAATCGTGTCTAGTTGGCCAATTTTGTTTTTTTTCCATCTTTTCTCGAGAATTTTTTTTTCATGTTTCAGGTAAATAACTTTATGGTAATTGGAATCAAAAATAATTTATTCAAGCTGTCAACAGTTTTCGTTCTACAAAAAACAGTTTCAAAAAAATGTCATTAATTAATTCTGAAATCAAAAAGTTTTCCTGATGACAAAAAAATTGATGACTTTCGAGACGTTTCGTTTTGACAAAAATATCCTAAAAAAATTTGAACATTTTCAAACGTCTCGATAACGTGATAATTCAGAAGCATAAGTGAACTTCAAGGAGTCTACAATATAGGCAGGCATACTTTTCAATAAAACTGCTCGTATCACGGCAAAGCCAATAAAACCAATTAATAGAGTCAATAAGCTGCCTTTACTCAATTTCAAACAATTTTGTAGTGCGGTAGATTTCGCCATGTGTAAATTAGAAAACGAGCATTTTGGACAGAAATATAGCAGGTTACTATAATGGTGCGCACATCGGGCTGGGCCACTCTAGATCAAGACATCAGTCCACCGATGGACGAGAATTTTTTTTTCCTAAATTGTCTGAACAAAAAGCACCAACCCGAGCATATATATTCCTCATTTTCTTCAAAAGTCAGAACAAAAAATGATGGAAGTTACGTGAGCGTTCTGTACATTTGACCTCAACAGTTGAGACTTCCAATGTTTATTTTAATAGATCTTCTTAGTTATCGACCAATACTGAAAAATAAAAAGACTGCTGGTATTAGCGCGAAGCTTTGATTGTTCCGAGTGACTTTTCAGTTGTATAAGCTGTGTTATTTTTAAGAAACTCGGTGAAATTAAGGAAAAATACTGAATTTTTTTAACCACTGGCTGAATTTTTTTCTAAACCATACCCAGCATGATGTATAAAGTACAAGTTGATGTTTTTACCATATATAGCAAAGTTTTTTAGAGATCAAGTAGCTTGCTTCAAGCCAATTTGGAACGAGTTTTCAGACGGAGTAAACCTCCACTTACGCGGAAACCGAACGAAATATGTCGCGCGTTAGTTATCCTATAAGTTGACCAAATTGGTAATCTTAAACCACGATATCATTTCAAAAAAAATCACAAGTTAAATAAAATTACATCAAAGAAAGGAAAAAATTGCCCCAAAACTGCGCTTAGTGTCTCAGATCAACGCAGTTCGATATAAACAACACGTTTTCAATTTCCAATTGAACACCGTTTTGGGACACTTTTTGAAAAGTTTTGACCTAAAATTCTCTTCAAAAATAGTATATATTGGCGTCAAAGAAAAATTTAATAGTTGGATGGCCGAAAATGGTTTTCATAAAACAATACCATAGGGGGACCCTTTGGTTGGTGAGGGGGTCGAATCCCTGAGAAGAAAAGGCGTCCGCCCCCCCCCCCCCCCCTAAATCTGCCACTGGCTGCGCTAACCTTTGGCATGAGAAGATTAGCAGCGTAAATGAGTGATTGCTACTGACTTAGATTTTGTTTGGCCATTTAAGAGATAAGAGAGAGTTGTTTTTTGTTGCAAACTATTTTTGAATGTGTTATGCTATGATATCTGCTATCTGCATCAGAATAAAAATAGCTTTCAATCCAATCTAAATTCATGTTAAATATTGGAACTGAGGCAAAGAGGTTAAAGAGTTAAGATAAAGATCAGAAGAAGAGATACTCCGATAGAAACGAGAGTAATCGAAAGACTGATTGCACCTCTCTTTAATTGCTTATTTTTACAGTTGTCTTCGGTTGCAGGAGGAATTCGTGCAGCCATCACATTTTCATTGCTTTGCTGATAAGCTGGCGGGGGACTTGAAGGCGGTAAAATTTCCCAGGTTCTGAAACTACAATAATTATTGCACGTAAGAAAGATATCTGTAGTAGATCACATATGCCAGTTTTTCCAGAAATCCACATGTTTGATTGGATGACTAGTGTTTTCCGTTTTTTGAACATTAACCGGTTTCTGGAATGTTTTTTTGCAACAATTCAATTTTTACAACCCATAAAAAGGCCAGCGGACATTTTCGAACACCAATTCGGTGCCAGGTCAACATCAAATATCGAATTTAATAGCATTTTTTGCGTCAAAGATCTTTCAGTTGCTGTCAAATCCCACCGATAAATTTTTTAAAAAAATAAGCTGAGATAACACACTAATTTTCAGATCACTCATTTATTTCATCTTCTTTGTTGGTTTGATCGAAATGTGACCAGCGCAGAAAAAAAAGAAGCAAAACTAAAAATCAAAACTTTTTGGGGAAAACGTCAACACTTCCTCACGGTAGTCTATTGTTTGATTCAAATGTGTTTTGATTGACTTTTACTTTTTTCTCTTGGTGATAACTTTTTATAAAAAAGAGTTCATTTGGGGAAAGATTCGATCCCTAACTCTCACTGACCGGTCTGAGATTCCCCCTGAAATAGGATAATCCCCAGTGCTTGCTGTCAGTGAGGAGTATGGGGGAGGTTGTGACATGCTTCTCCCTGATGACTCATCGTTGTTTGTATGAATGGTTGTCGTGGTTGTCCGAGGAGTCGAAACAACGGTCTCGGATTTGCTTGGATCCGAATAGAACCCGAAGTTGGTTGTCATATTTCAGACTACAAAAAGATGAGATGAAGCAATACTTGGATAAAATAAATTATTTTAAGCCAGAGCATATAATTAAAATGTTTTTTTTATTTGCAAGTTTTCCATAGACGTAGTGATTTTGCTGCAAAACGTCCTATCTGAGTAGACAGGAGTAGTTTTTACATTTGTGACGTCGTTTTAAAAAAGAACACCTTGGCTTATAGTGGTGCAGGTTTAGTTTGAACGAACTGTGCGTTTTTGAAAGCTTTCCACATAGGTTAACAAAACAAACTTGCAACGTCACGTCTTAATTATTTCAAATTGTGTTTTTATTATGATCGAGAAAAGAAATAAAATATCAGCAACGGCTTTTGGACATTTTGTATATCTTTGCAAAAATGAAAACCTTTTTTTCTGATTTAAGCAAAAAAGGCTCAGCAATTCATTGAATATCAAACAAGAACTCCCTTTCAACTTGCTGTATTGTATGTGGCTTGTAAGAAAAACCAAATCCTGAACAAGCATATTTTTTCTAATCTGAACGTTGAATCTGTAATAGTAGTAAGTTTTTATGCATTGACTTTTTTCTGCTTTCAAACTAAATGATCATCCAATACCATTATTTAAAAAAAATTCCCTTTAATTTTGAGTGAAAACAAAAAAAAACTAAAATAAGACAATTTTTTTAAGTTTTCTTGTATAGTCGAGGAGCGCATCTTTTTGCTTCGAATTTATAAGTTCACAAGACTGCTCGTACATCAGGGCAAAGCCATGAATGTTCTGATTGCCGTTAATCAAATAGTTGTTGATAAAAAAATTATTTTAAAACCATAAAATATTTGGACAACATCATTCATGAGTGCAATTAATTAATGCCAATTAGCTTGCTGTAATTCATTTCACTCAATTGCATAAATAAATTGCATCAGACTTTCGCATCGTTATAGAAATCTTCACAGCGCGCATAAATTAGTTCAAAGCATGGCAAAATTGGCATCTTTTAGACCCCCAGAACTTAGCAAATAATTATTGGAGGCAAAATAACTTTTAACATTTGTTGTTTTTTGTCCTTACAAATTTCATCAAATGACCTAATACTTTTCAAGAATAACATTAATAAAAAATTTCAGAAAAATATTTTAATTTTTGCTGTGAAAAATTTCCGATAATGATGATCCACCAAAAAACAAATTTTGATGGTAATTTTACCAAATTTTTTTCATTGGTTATCAATTTTATACAAAAATCATTGTTGATAAACCACTAAAGCAAAATATATCTTCAAATATATTATATGTGAGTGAAGTTAACTACTAATAAACTTAATTTTTTTTTCAAAATGGTGTTTCTAAACTAACAAATTTAGCAAAATTTGTGGATTTCTAGAAGCATAAATTTTTTATAAGGATTTAAAAATTTGATGATTGAGTACAATTGAAGATATAGTTTTTTCCAAACAAAAACAACTCTCCAGCTTGCAGTTTTTTTCAACTTTATAACAAAAATTAAAAAAATTTGTGTGTTTAAAATACGGCATGGAAGTTTGCTTCCGGCAGTTTTATTGTGTTTTTAGAAACAATCACCATTGTTGACTTAGTTGGCACTAACTGTAGAGCAACCGCCGCTTTTTTTTGCAACATTGTATTTCGCATCAAAATATTTTTACCAATAAAACTAACATTTTTAAATATTTCTGATTGGCCTAGAAAAACACACTGCATGATAGTTGGTTGACATTATTTCAAGAAATCATTAAAAAAATTTAACTTCCCGAAAAAAGTGGTAAAGTCTAACAATTCTATGCAAAAAAAATGCATACATTGAGCAGCCGCGTCAGTCACACTTCTCATGACAGTCACACATACAAAACTTTTAATGTTGTTTTAAAGTCGAAAACTCATGCAGCAGTTTAGCAAGCAGCTTTTCAAGTTTGGATTGATTGGAAAGAACTCTGTCTCATCGAGTAAACAAAAATTCCGCAGAGTTCAGTTTAATTTTGTTCAGATTATAAAAGAAATTATGCTTGATGAAAATTTTTTATCGTGGCCGTACTGGTGATCCAAACAACAGTGTCTACAAAAACTTCCTTCCCCAACAAAATCACCGAAACTGTGAGTTCAATTTTGAAAAAAAATAATGCAATCATCTTTGGTTAAGTTCTGGGGTTTTAAAAACTTTTTGCTTAACTGTGCGCGCTTTGAAGAATGCATTTATGATAAAGAAAGCGTACACATAAATCTTTTATGCAAACTAATTAGCATGCACAAGCTAATCAGTAGATACGCAACAGCTCCATACTTCAAAAAAAGTATTTTTGATCAAATTGAGACACGCAGCGTCGATATGTGAACTTAATTCGATTTCAATATACGCTGCTGCTTATCTGGTATGAAAAACATGTGAAAATTAGAGCAAACCACGCACAATTGAAAAACTTTTCACGCTAACAGATGATTTTTTCGTACTAATTTATTTTGGTTAGTGTTTCTAGGAAAAATATTGCACTAGTGTTTCAAATTGAACACGTGTGTTTTAACTGATTATATTCATACCCTATACAAATCAAACTATAACACTTAATAATTGACATTGATTAAACTTGAAATTGAATTTAGGTTATTATTTCTTCGAGTCCAGATAAAGGCAGTCAAAAGATTTTTAAAAATTCCAATTATTGCTTATTGACATCAAAACACGTACTTAGGCTTTTAAATTGTTAAAGCATCATTTTTAGTTGTATCGAGCCACTAGTACACACAGGCAGTCTCGCTGTTGCATATTCCAGTTGCGAGAATAGAACAAAGTTTCAGTACTTCAGCGCAACACATTTTGAAGTTTTTTGTTTTTGTTTCCAAGTATGATCACCTTTTAGTCTTTTTTATTTGTTACTCACACAATAATTTTGACGTTTATGAGCTATTGCAAAATACAAAACCGATTGAGATCTTATATATATTTGAAAAATGAATTTTTTGATGGTTTTTTTTTCACTTTGCTAGTAATTTGCGGTTTCAACAAAAATTTATATCCCAATAAAAATAATGACAATCTGAATTCAAAATTTGAAAAAAAGTTTTAATGCAACCATTCTGGTAAATTTCTGGCATCTCGAGAAGTTTGGGGTACATAGACAAGACTGCTTGCGTACAACGCAAAGCCCTGATTAGTCCGATAAATTTTTAATCGGTCTCGAGTAGTTTTGGTTAAATTACTTTGATAAATTATAAGTTTTTTGATATCAATATATAAATTAAGCATTGAGCTTCGAGTCGTTTAGGGGAACAAAAAAAGGACGTTTTTCAGCGCGAGTTTGATCTCAAAAAAAAGCATTAAGTTTTAGCATCATAACTGTTACTTTTAAATACACTATTAAACAAAACAAACTAAGTTAGCAGGAAAAAACTAATCAGTGTGACTAATTTTGTGAATAAAAAAACTTGGCTATGCAAATTTTTAATATAAAAAATATTGTTTTGGACAATTAAACAGGTATTTAGGATTTTAATTTTTTGAGTTGAATTTTGAGTTTTGAGTTGAATCTAGGCGTAATCTCGCTGTTGCATACTCCAGTTGCGATAACATAAACACATTTCGGTGCTAGCAATACAGCTTACTCTGAGGTTTTTTGCCTTTTTTTCAATTTGGTTCATCTTCCAGCTTATTTAAGTTGTTCACCTTTCAGGACCACCTTTTAACTTATTGTTTGCAGCGCATTTCTAGTTGTTCAGCTTATTTTTGCTTAATTCTTTAGCTAATATTATTTTTAATGAATAATAGTTAAATACAACAAATTGTGTCATCTCATACCCGAATAATAAATTTTTCAAAAATATTCATTCTTAAGTTTTTTTTAAATTAGACTTTCAGTACACAACCCTAAAAACGATGCCCCTCATTCACCTAAGAGTTTGTTTGTATTATCTGAAAAAAAACTTAAAGTGGTCCAAACATTAATGCATGAAGCAGAACTGACATTTCGAAAATTAGGCTTATGCAAATCTTAATAAAATTATATAACGCACATTGACAAGTACCATGCTTGAACAATGCTTTTTTAGATTGCAAACATTGACAGAAAAGCCATCTCGAGACAATATTTTAGCAATTAATTCAGTGGCTTCATAGTGCAAATAATTTGTTAAGAGATGTGATGGGGATGTAGTGTACGATTTTTGTCGTTGAACGAATAATTTTTTTTTATTTTGATAGTTTTTCGAGTTACTTGAAATGCGATATATTGAAGAAAAAAATCAATAGCCTTTTTTTAAAACAAAAATGTTCGAACTGCAGATAGTTTGGGTGTCACACAAACTTTATGAGCCACAAAAATCTTTTTACTTTTGGATAAACAACATGTGACAGATGGTTCGACTCAGTTCGACTATAAGCCCAGCGCGGCTATGGATTTTTGGTCGCACATTGACATCTCGCTCGCCCATTTCAGTCGTATCATAAAGTCAAAGCCTCGATCCGAGAGGGAAAAAAATCAGACAAACTTATTTGAGTGTTATCCAAATGAATAGTTTGTTTAAAAAATGACTGATTTAAATTAATTGTAATTTATATCCTTAACTAAATCCAGAATAAATTTCGGTGTTTGAGCGGGCATGTATTTGCAAGTTTGCTGGGCACAATTGACTTTAAAGTTAAAAATTGAAAGCAAAGCAGTGCAAAAAAATTTATGATTAAATTTTGACGCAAGCTTTTAGCTTCCAACCTGAGTTTCACGTTCAACCAAAATCGGTTAATGAGCTAAATTTTCATTGAGAGAGATTTAATCTTTTTCACCCTGCTTGTTGTTACGGATTCAATTATCTTTTCAATCTGTTTTGTATACGAACAATGGCAGGCCTTAGTTCGAGAAAATGATACAGTAAGTCTATAGTTACAAAACGCTTTAAAGTTCAAAATGGCTTTTTGGAATAAAACAAAAATTATGATAGTCTCAAAAAAAATTTAAAAGGAAACCCGCGGCATAATTCTAATCAAAGTTTTGTCAAAATGTTCATTTTTTGAGCCATAAATGCGGTCATCTTCATTATTTGATTGTTTGCTTGCGGATTTTTCAAACGGAATATAGTCAAAACCGATGTTGGGTCTCCCTCAAAATATGGGCGGAATGGCTTGCGATGTTTTGAACTTAATCGTATTATTACATGAGATTTTGACGGTTTTGATCTACAAATTTTGCCAAAAGAATTGTTTGAAACAAACAATTCGAAATGGTATGTAAAACTTTGTGCTACAAAATGAAGTTCACAATCAGAGAATTTAAAATTACTTTTTTGATGAAACTAGTTTTGACTTAGAAGATAAAGAAGCTTCTAAAACTATGCGTTTGAACTATTGTTACAACTTTTGTTACTCGGGTTTTCCCTCCATGCAAATTTTGATTTTTCAAATAGCCGTTTTTTAGAAGAACTCTTACATCTCCTGAATTTGATGTCTTCAGCCTGAAATTGAAAAGATGTTTTACTAAAAAATATGGGTATGAAAAATGCCTATTTGGCCATTTTGGGATAGATAAGCAAAACTTATCACCTCGTATTTTGCACTATATTTTGGCCTAAAACCTACCCTGTTTTCACCCAATAAACCATAAAGGCAAATATAAAACGGAATATATCAGTTTGTAATATACACAGCGTGAGGGGGATGAAATCAAGAGAACAACGGAAAACCCATTTTATAACTTTTTCAAATCAAATTATTTTATTGAAAGATATTTTGTGGAGGCTTCATAGGGCTGTCGGAAAATTAGGTTTTCTCGAGCTTGCCCCAAATATGAGCACTATTTTTTATGTTTTTTTTTCTTTGACAATTTGATAATTTGTTCAGTCCATGCATTTTACATGGCTCAAATGAGTCGTTTCATTAAAGAAATATTAGTTCTGACATTCAAAAAAAGTGAAAATTTTTTATGCTTGGGGTGGTTTTTTTACATATTAGTTTGGAGAGTAAATAAATATTGAAAAAAAAAACGTATACTTCAATCAAAATATCGACTTGCAATATTTTTGGTTAAGTTCTCGAGGTTCAAAAGTTGTAACCTTTGTAATGTTTTGGCCTAAAATGTGTGCGCTTTTAATATTTCATATACGATGCTAAACTAATACGCATGGTTGCAAATTTAAACAAGAATGGCTGAATGCTGTTTAGGAAGCACATTCAAAAAAACTGATAAAAACTGTTTTTCTTTTCTTCGAATTAGTGTCATTTGTTTTAGCAGACTACAGTTATGAAACTATACGAATGATTATAAAGAAAAAAATCAAAGAATAATTGACATCGTTTTTTTACTGAACTAGAGCCCAAAAAGACCACATTTACAAAAAAGTAACATTTTTTCTAATTTTTTACACAACAATTTTTGTTCTGAAAACCTATATTACCTAGAAAGCGGTAAATTGAATATCCAAAATTAATTTTCTTTTCATTGAAGTTAAATTTTTTTGAGCCTATAAGTCTAGATATGATAAGATTTATATAAGGAACGTCACTCAATTGCTTTATTTGCTCGAAATTGAGCTAATACTCAACAATTTGTCTCGCCATTAAGACAAATTTTTGAAAATTTTCAAATTTTGTTCAAATCACATTTGAAAGAGCTTTATTTGTTATATCCTTCGACCCATTTTCATAATTGTTTGCGGTATCTGATTTTGTGTGGAAGACAAAAAAAAACGAAAAAAAACACCCGGACACAAGTTCACTCCCTATTTCAATTGTAAGAACAAGACTCACGCTAATTGGTCAAATTATTTCCCTAAACGACTCAAATTATTATATATATTTTTTGTATTTCATTACACTTATATTTATCAGAACTGTTTGACAGTTTTTGCGGAACAGTCGGCACATACAGTCTTTGCCCTGATATCCGAGCAGTGTCGTTTATAATTACCAATTTGAAAAACCAATCGAAAAATTTTTTTGAGCATTGTTCAAACTCAAATGTTCATTCATTTTAACTTAAGGAAATTGTAATTCCTACACAAGTAGCAAATTGCAAGAAAAAAGTAAATTAGGAAGCCTGTACAATTCAGAGCTCACCATTGACTTTGAATTTTCCCAAAAGATTCAGCTTGGGTTCAATTTTTCAATAGATTTCTCAGAAGAATGTTGACAGATATTCTTTATTCATCATCAAGTCAATGCTTTAATTTTTAAATAAAAACGTTCTTTCCCTCTAAAATGGGGGGACTCATTTGGGTGATTTCATGTTCAATTTTATTGCTGCTTCTGCATAAGCTCGTTTGTGAACAATAATATTACAAATTAAAATGACGCGAAGAAAATTGCTCCAATTATTCTTTTTTACTTACGAACAAGGATTAGCAAACGAATTGAGAAATAAAATTCGAAAAACAAATTTGAACCAAACGAAAAAAAAATCTATTTTTTTGTTTGCAAAGAAATTGAAAAAGGCGAAAGAACAAATAAATATCTAAACAGTAAAAATTTAGTGAAACTGATACCAAACAACAATAGTGACCACACCCACACCCACACCCAAATTTGGTCGCTACCTAAGGGGTGACCAGTTCCTCTACCGTACATGTTATGGCTTCGACCGAGCACTGACTGCTCCATTTGGAGTGAGAACTTTCATAAAAAACTATTTTGTTTGACAAAAATTTGTCAAATTAAGTTCCATTTATCCTTAGAGCAATATTTTAGTATTCAATAATAATATCATATAGTAATTACATAATATTATATTTCATAAAATAAAATAATAGTAAAAAGGAACCTATAATAGAGTTCCTTGATTTTAAATTAAATTTAACTAAAATATATTATCATAATTTTATTACCAGTTTTTTAGGGTTCGGTGGAGACGGACAATAAGTATCCAATAAGAGCATTTATTCTTTGTGTAGCTCCAATATCAGTAAAAAATTTTAAAATGCCACGTTGCGTTGGCTGATTTTGTTGCATATTTGTGAGCTTCATGACAGCAAATTCCCAAAAGTACAAAAAAAAACAGGAAAAAGAAAAAATAAAAGCAAAAAAATCATATCTGATTCAAAAACCAAAAAATAACATATTAGCACTGTTTGCAAGGGTCAGTTTTTTAGGGTTCTGTGAGGACAGACAATAAGTATAAATGGCAGGATGCATTTGCTGATTTTGGTGCATATTTAGGAACTTCATGACAGCAATTTCTCTTTAGTAGGAAAAACAGGAAAACGTTGAAATAATAGCAAAACAATCTTAGTCGACTAAAAACCAAACAAAATATTAGTAATTTTTGTAAAAATTTTGCGGGAATTACAAATTACCCAAATTTGAAGATTGTCATTATTAACAGAACTTGAAGATCAGACTAGCAATTGCTCGAAGCGTTTTTAAGAGTAATGAACGTTTTGAATGCTTTTATATAGGTCTTGTTGATTTTTTTCTTCAGGAAAAAGTCTTAAAATGCTCTAATAACTAAAGATGTGCTTTCTTACATATTTATGCATTTATGAATGCACTGAAGTATATAAGCACTTTTTGAGTTCAATTGAAATTCATCTGCTGAAATTGACGTAAATAGCACTCTCCAAATACGAAAGAGAAAATGACGCGAAAAAACCTGAACGATTTATAGTTCCGAAAGTGGAATTTACTTTTTAGGTTTCCAGCGGAATGAAAATTTTACCTGCTGACCCGGTTTTCTCAGCTTGAGTTAATGATATCAGAAAAACGCCAATTATAAATCGTTCTAAAAATTCAAAAATTTTAAAGGGCATTTATTTTTTTTTTGAAATTCGAAAGTTGAGATTTTTTCAACGAAGTTCGTGTTTTTTATGTTTACTTCCGTTCATTATTTTTTCCAATGTTTGATTGGCTTTAATTTTCAATTCAGCGGTGTCTTAAAATGTTTAATTCCATCAATACGACAAAATTGAAAAAAAAACTGTTCTAGTTCTGAACAATTTTCGAAAAAACCGTTTCTAGTTAAATTGCTTTGCCAACTTTGCTCATTTTTAAGAGTCCATGAATGTATTGAAGACCCTTATAGAGGTCGTGATGATTTTTTTTGGTTTTGTCTGGAAAATGCAGTAATTTTTTCTACGCTCAATATTGATTTTTTGCGGTTTAATTTTTGATTTTTTTTCAAATTCCATTCAATACCCTTCTAGGAAAAAGAAAAATTCAACTTTCGAATTGCAAAAAGTGTAATGATAACGAAAAATGTGATAGACTTTTAGTCTCGAAAGTCGATTTAGTTTTTCAGATTTTCGAAAGAAAAAATTTATCTACTGATCCATTATCAATTACTACCATTTATCAATTAAAAGAGTTTCAACTACAAAATCTTCTTAAAATTGAAAAATTTTTGATACCATTTGTTTTTTTTTAAGTTAAATGTTTTTCAAAACTTGAAGGGTATCAGTCTTACAAGGTTGGACTTGAAGGGTACCAGGTTGGACAAAAAAAAATTATTGCTAAGTTTAGTTTAGAAGACGAGCTCTTTAGTTCATATAAGTATAATTCATATAAGCATTTAGTTCATATTGCGGTTTCTGTTCTTTTCCAGACTTTTTTTGAGTTTTTCTTGAGTCTTTTAGTTTGTTGCGTTGAACTTTGTCTCGTCAAGGCCGGATGATATGGTTATGTGTGCTTACCATTGCAATCACACAGCAAACAAAGGTATGAAAAATAGCAACAAAGGTGTCAAACTAGCTCGTAATTGTTTTTTGACGACCTACCGCTTGTCTTATACATTATATTGGATATTAATTGTTCCATCCATTGAAAAAATGTGTAGGATTTTTGTATTCGGGTGTGTCTTTGTTTTTTTTGTCTTCAAATAATCATCGGAATGGTCGAGAAAAACCGGTTTGAATTTTTAGATTTGTCGCCTAATTTCGAGCTAATTAGGTGGGCGTGCAGGCTTACAATAGCTTACTTAAGCTTAAATTAAGCCGTGAAATTTTTATTTTACTCGAGTTAAGCTCGTTTTTTGAGTTTTTTAGCGCCATTTTGGAATCAAATCTGCAGAATAAAAATAGAAAAAACTGTTTTCCAATTGGCCTATTTGACTATGAATGTCGCGTTTGCCTATTTTTTTTGTTCACATTTTTTAATCACACCAAACAAAAAACGACACTAATTTGAAAAGAATTGTATTTTTTAAGACTATGGTCCAAACATTCTGTGCTACTTCCACAGCAACTGGCTATCCTTGATTTGTATGAACTCATAACTATTGAATTAAAGTTTGATGTATTGTGTTTTTTTTGTGTGTGTGTAGTGGTAAGCGGTTCTGCATTCTGGCCAGCATTGGCATTGGACTCTGTCTGCTGGCCCTCCTGCTCATCCTCTGTCTGGAGAGATACTCGTGGGAGATACAGTACATTGTCCCACTTGCAATATTCTTAATCGGTGAGAGACAAAAACAAATTAACAACAACTACTCAAGTTCTTTTTGTCGAAGATTATTAGTCACAGCCACGTATATTTCTTTTTTGCCTAAAAACAGCTTTCAATTTGGTTATGATTAAACAGCTCCTTAAAACAAAAAATTTCCGTCACCTTCTTCGAAAGTCGGAAAAACAAGACTTTTCCTATCAAGGTGAGGCTCAAAAATTTTCAAAATTTTTTCAACCTATTTTTTCCAGCTCGAGCAAGTTGATTTTCTGAGCTCTCCCAAGCCACTATAAAGACCTTAATTTGACAAAATTTTCTGCGCCGCAGACAAATTTTTGAAAAAAGGCCAAAAAAGGCGTTTTTAGGCACTTTTTAGAAAGTTTCGACAAAAAAATGCACTTTGGCGCGCGCTCCTCTCGCAAAAATAGAAAAATTTGAAAGTCAGTCAGTCAAAAATGTATATCTCAAAGGGGGGACTATCAAAGGGGACACCCTGTAGGTCGGCGAATCCCTGAGGGGGGGAGGAGCACCCCTAAGTCCGCTACTGCTTAGGGGTGCCTGAAATACATTAAGGTGTAAAGGTTCGATAATGTTTCAAGAAAAAAGAATAATACAAAATTTGAATAAATTTTTTTTGAAATTTTTTCGTTCGCACTCCAAACTGATTGCAAAAGTAGAAACGATATGCTTCATTTTGTTTTAAAACATTATTTGGATGAATTCGATTAAGTGGCGTACCTTTACTCATTTGGGAATAAATTCTGAGCTCGATCTATTCTCTGCATTACTACGCGCAAAAGGCAAAAATTGGAAAATTCGCCAGCTTTTATTAGCTCAAATTTGAAACCAAAAACTTTCAAGAAAAATAACCGGGAAATATCTTTCTTTAAAATTGATCTGAAGGCAAAAATATCTTTTAGATGATATGAAAAAAAATTCGCCAAAAATTTAGGGACTCAACCCCCTCATCACTCAAAAGATCCGCAACCCCCTCATCACTCAAAAATCCCCCATTGGTACTAGCTGTAAGAAATCCATTTTCGGTCGACTGAACTGACAATATAAAGTTATTTTAAAGAGTGAGCGCGCGCCGAAAAAAAAGTACAATTTTTCTAATAAATCCGACTGTTTGAAAAAGCATCTCGTGAATCAACTGTGCCATCTAACACTAATCACCTGTGTTATTAGTTTGAATGTATAACTTAGGCAAAATTTTAAAAAGTATTGTCTGTTACTGTGCAAGCAACACAGATTGTTCCGACGATGTTCATAAGAACTACGAAAAAAAGTCTTCAAAATATTCAATTTTTCAAATTAGTGTCGTTTTTGTACGTGGTGTGATGATAAAACTGTACACATGCATATAAAGCTAGTAACATAAGGCAAAAATGACAACGTTTGGAGAAAAAAAATTTTAAGCCTAAATAACCAATTTCACAAAATGTCAATACGTTATTTGGTCGAAATTAGACAAAAACCAAAATTTTCAAACCGGTTTTTCTCGACAGTGGGAATTTTTTTGGAAATTTTTGAATTCCATTTGAATCAGTTTTGAATGGGTTGTTATATGATATATCACTCAACTCAGTCCGATTATTTGTCGTAACTGATTTTGCGTAGAAAACAAAAAAAAAAGAAAAACTAAAACACACCCGAATACAAAGTTTCTCCCCATTTGCAATGGTCGGAACAATAAACTGCAATAAAAATTATCCAAGAACCTTTAGTTGTTTTAAGGTCTCAATCAAAATCTCAACTTCCTGAATTTTTTTTCGATTCATCAATTTTTAGGTCTCTGCTTTGGAGTGGCTGCAATTCTGACACTGTTTGACGTCTGCTGAGAGGAAAACCAAATTTTTACCTGATATCAAAGTTCATGATGTCAGAAAAAGACCATCATTTTCATAATCAATTCGCTCTAAAGTCAATTGAACTAAAAATGGTTTAACAAAACTAAACTTGCTGGCTGATAAAAGTGAATCCGTTTATATGATATTGTAATACTTTCAAAATTGTAAAAATCAGATAAAACGTTTTCCCAGAAACTTTCTTACAAGTTTTTCTTTTCCAGATTGCGGCCCACCAATTAATTGACTGTATTCGCTGCATATACTTCAACAGAATATGGCACATTTCGCCCCACGCACATTCCGCCCCACTTAAAATCAGCGGCATATTTAGCCCTTCACACGCTTCGCTCATCGTATTTTTAAACACGTGGGGGCTAAATGTGAGGGGGCGAAAATTTATTTTTTAGCGTGTTCAACCTGTTTGTTAAAATTGAAAAGACCTGGGCTTAAAATGTGAGGAATCTAATTTTGCATTTATGCAATTAGGTTTAGAAATTCAGTAGGCTGTGAGTTATGCAGAAAAAACTGCAAATTTTGCAGGAAATGTCGAAGAAACTTTTAAAAATTAAATTTCACTATAATCCATTATACTGGTTTTTGAATGGATTATAATCGAGGTAATTTCTCTAAGAAAAGTGGATTATAAAAGAAAAAAATTGGTTGCATGGTCCTAAAGTGTAATCATAATCGATTTTAAGGGCAAGATTTTTGACCACGAAAATTGATTTTCTTCGATTATCATCCACTGGAACCTGCATTCACAATGGCTTTTTTTTCAGTATCATCAAAACGCGTAGTAAAAATAGTGACTTCAAGAAAGGTTATTTTGCTAGTAGTTTACTTTTGAAACATTCGCTACTGCGTTTTTTATGGCATCAAACACGACTGTGTGCTCATCCCCCCACTCAAATTTCTTTACCGGTAGTTTCATGTTTTTCAGCTTTTTCTTTTGATTCTCCTTTTTGAGATTTTTCTTTCTCCTTTCACATTCTCCTCCACCGCGTTGGGTATGAATTTAGCTGGATTTATACGACCCAGAAATGATCTTAATTGCTTTAGCTCTAAGGGATTTAGATTTTGTATCGCTTCAGTTTTAGTAAACTTTGGACTGACCCCTGACTCCGAAAGGTAATGTACCAACCAGTTCACCTGGTTTTTGAAGAATTCGCTTTTCGAAATCTTTAATGCCAGATTTTCATCATCCAATTTTTTCAGTATCGTTTCTACTAATTTTTCATGTTCGGTTTCACTACCTTTCGACACAATGAGAATGTCGTCCAAAAAACAAAAAATATTTTTTGCGTGGTTAATAGTTTTGTTCATAGCTTTTTGAAATTCGTGGCATGTCTGCTATTCCATAGAACCACCCTGTAAGGAATCTATACGTCCCGATAGCCTTTCCACCATCGATATTGAAGTTTCACTGCTTAGCTTTGTCTGCAGTCAGTTTTAACTGGCTATAGGCGTACTTTAAATCTTACACTGTGAAGTAAAATGTGCCCTCTTTGTTTTCTGTAACTATTTGGCTGACCCCAAATATGAGTTCATCTACATTGGGCATTTGGTACTTATTTTAGCATTTGTTTTTTCAACCTTCTGACTGCTGGCAAATGAGCACGTAAAACCTGGATAGTTCTCTTGGAGCTGGTTTTTGTGTGGTGGCGATCCCCACTTGTCCTTGTAAGTCCAATCCCATTATGCATCTGTTTTTACGTTCCGTCACCAGAAAAGTGCCTCCTTTCACCTCCCAGCCTGCCGAACGAAGATTTGTCTTCAATGCCCCTAATACACAGATTGGTTGTTTATTGTAGTCGACGAACTGGGTAGCCAAGTTCAGTTTATCGGACGGAATGAACCTTGCTTTGTTTGATTCATCGATTATTTCTTTTGTCGTCGCCCAATTTAAGAAAGAGACTGGACTTCCGGTATCTACCGTCAGTTGTATGATTTGACTATATATTCTCACCATGGCCTTTGGTGATTTTACTCTGTTCGACGTTGGGTCTCGGAGTAAGTCAATTTTTTGAACTCTTATCTTTTCCCCATTTAACCTATCATTGCTTTCGTTAATTTGATCGCTTACGTATTTCGAGATTCTTTCGTTCTCCGGCCGGTGTGTTTGTATTGACATTACTTCAAAATCACGACATGAGCCGAAGTTTTCTCATAAAAGGTCACATTCCTCTTCTGATCTTTCGGATTCTTCCGTGACTTCACTCACTTGCTGAGAACTACGCATTTTTGCAAAGTGGTTGGGTTTTCCGCAATTCTTACAAGTTTTGCCCAGTACCGAAGAGCTTTTTAGATGTCCCTGGTCAAATGCTCTTCCGCGTCTTTTACATGGTTTTGTTTTCCCATTGGAGTTTCTGTTGTTATTTTGTCGTTTATTCGCTTCCCTCTTATATTGTTGATTTTTTTTCCTGTTGAGTTCCTGCTTAACAGGAAAAAAACATCACTGGTTCTTGTTTTATTCTCACCCCAGAAATGTAGTTGTTGCCCGTTCCTACTGTTGAGTCTCGAGAGTTGTGTCTTAAAACATGTTAAAACTTTGTCAGAGCGTTGAAAGAAAAAAAGAACAACAGAAGATCAAAACTAGCGTCCTTGTTGCGGAATTCGCTTACAATTCACTAAATACACAGTTTGGCCTCGTAATGCTGCTGTTAATTTGAATGGTTAAGTTGGTTAAGATTCCTTCCGCAATTTCAGGTTGTGTTTGGCAAGTAATTTCGTTTTTGGCTCCTGTTAGCAATGGGTTTCTCTGTGTTTGATTTTTTAAACATGAATGCGGAACTTTGCAGCTGGGAGAACTATTGTGCTGGACGCTCTGCTTTTTGCATCAATATCGGTGCTGGTTATGGCTGAATGGTTGCATATAGAGATGCTAGCAAAAATGTTGTATGATTGGGTTGTCATGTGTGTGTATGTCCTCCGTATGACTGCAGTTGTAGGTGTTCTGAGTGTTCTTGCAACTGTATGACATCGGAGAGTAAAGATGATTTGTAAAATCGTTGTTTTATTCTCAATGCGCGTTTCGTTCTTTTTTAAAAAGTTTTGAGAATAATATCTATCTGTAAACCGTGGTTATCAATTGGAGATTTTCGTTTGAAGTGTTGCTAAGAAGCCTAGATGGCTTGCTAAGTGTTGCTAAGGTTGAGGCGATGGCTTCTTTCTTTCGGACATCTGGGTTCTCAATTTTTTAAACTTTCTACCTGGTGCATCTGTTCTGATGTCGTGGATTTAAAAGCGCTTGTGGGAGCGCGCTTATCGGATTTTGTCGTTTTTAATTATTTTCATCAAAACATTCTTCAGGAAAAAACACATTCTAGCAAAGTCAAACCCTGGAGCCATCACTGGCCAGGTAAAAGCCTTGTTATCACAAGTTTTTTAAGCAAAATTTAAAATAAGTGAATGCCTACAATCCTTGCTGAACGTTAAAAAAGGAGGTAGCCAACAGGAAGGTACGAAATACTTTTCCATATCAGCTACCAGTGAGCAAGCAACAGAGAGGATGAAAATACCATAACATACGCGAGAAACCTGGAAGCAAAAAAATCAAACAACATCTACAAATACCCATAAAAAACATCTTAAAGCACGCAAAAGCGCAAGTTGATAACATATTAGGATATTTGAAAAAGTAATATTGATATAACAATTTGGACAAAACTTTAATATTAAAAACCAGCAGAGCATCAGAAATGTTTACCGTTTAGTCGATATACTACAAAATGAAGTAAAATCCACGCCGAGATACCAACAAAAGCTTCCTGCTATCTATTGGTTACTACTTGGGTGATCCAATTACTTGGGTCTCCACCTAACCAAGGAAAACCAAGTTATTTTGAGCGCATCTGAGTAAAAAAGAAACCCGATTTGAAACGACGCGATTGCGACTTTTTGTTTTTCCGTAAACGGGATTTTGGATCTCATGCATTCATTTTATTGAAAACTCCGAAAATCCCCTTTTCCAAAAGATAGTTATTTTTCGGCATTTTATCGTTTCGTAAAAAAAATCATTTCCTGTTTCGAACTTTCCTGTTTGCATTTTTTCTGTACAATCTAAGTAAACATCTGAAGAACTTTTAATTTTGTTTAAAAAAAGGCGAATATTATTTTTACAATTAAAGATTGTGAAGCAGTTGTTGAGCATGTTGTTTGGGTCTCTCTTGTCTTAATGTGAATATAATTGTACTTCCTTTGTCTCGTTTTAAATTGTGTTTGTAGATGCGCTTTCCTCTCGTTGTTTCTGGAAAATTGTCGTCCCTTTGTATCCTTGCTTTGAGTGTAGCCTAAAAATTACTATAACACGGAAACAACAAAAAAAATCATTTAATTTCGAATTTACCATTAAAAAAATCAAGTTTTTTTCCCCTCATAAACATTTAAATATTTTTGAAACAAAAGTAAACATTTTAACAAATATAAATTGAAAAAAAAACTGAAAAAAAAAACATTCGAAGTTTTTTTTTCTAACTTCACTTTGAAGTAAAAATGAATAAGAGGCAAAAAAAACGTCCGAAACGGAACAAGCGCCGTCCTTATCTACGGCTCTCAACAACTATGGACGATACCAATACCAACAAATCGTCGACGTCGACAATAACTGCAAAAATTGCCTCCAGCAAATTCAGGCTGGCTAGAATTGAAATGAGCCGGTCTATGGAGTTCTTACAGTCACAGATAGAAAGAGGGACCCATATTAGTTCTTTGAAGACTTTGGCGCAGAAAACAGAAGACCGATTAGAACAAATGAAAGTAATAGCAACCGAAGTGTTCGCAAATGGATCTTCGGAAGACAACGACGACGCTATGGAGATATATGCATGTCTTTCACGACAACTTTTAGAGCTAACCCACAACGTCAACACTTTAAGACTTAACCAGCTGTTCTGGTTCTAATACAATACACGTAAGCAAATCGACGCCTGTAACCGGGCGACACCCCTTCGTCGAGGACACATATGCCGAAAATCACTTCACTCAGCCCTCTAGCAACCGCGTGAACAATTCATCTGATGGAGAGCCAATTAACTTACAGAACGAC